CTTTTCGGTTTGGTGCGGTTTTTCGATTCGGTTTGTACACCCCTAACTGGAAGGACGAATGGAAGAAGGGTACCTACTAACAGGCCATGTACGAGAGTTAGCAGTAGGAAATTTCTTTTCAAAATCCTTCGAAGTACTAAGCCTTCTTGGGATGATGGAATCCACTGTTAGAGGAACGTAATCCTCGATTTTGTTCTTATTCTTTGAAGAACTACCACGTTTGGACGAAGAAGCCATTGGAAAAGAAGAAGGTAAAGAGTTTGTGTTAGAAGAAAATCAGGAAAAGGATGGAAAACAAGGATGTAAATCAGAAACTCAAGCAATTGTGAAACGTAAAGGAAAAGAAAGTTGCGTATAAATAAAATTTTAGCAGCTAAATTCATGGCCATGATTACCTCGATAATCGGCAAAAGTTATGCTGATTCATAGGATGACACGTGTTCGGGGCATTAAATACGGAGAGACGTACGTCTAATCAACTGTCAGAGACCTTCAGAGGGAGTTACAGTAGTTTCCGCCAAAAAAGTGTTTCTACCAACTTTTCGGTAACACAAAGTTATGTCATCGGAAAGCAGGAGGACTATCTGTATCGGGTAAAATATGATATAACACGTGGCTGACTAAAAGAAGGACACATGAAATTGAAGATGAGATGGTTGAGGACCGAACTCAGGCACTACGCTTGTCACCGGAATGGATAACGTTCATAAAAGTGTATTAAAAGCTTTGCGCCCGGTAGAATTTACTAAGAAATATTCTACATCATTAAGAGCGATGGTCCGTTACAGAGAATTTGACATTTATGCTCAACGTTACATCTTCATCAATAACTCTCAGAATTGACATTAAAGGAGGGCACAATCCTAAAACCTTCTTCCCTAGACATAACTATAAATAGTGAGCCGAGTTATCATTGAAAGGGACATGAAACTTTTGGAAAGAATATATATTATATTCTATACAAAACTTTATACAATTTTGACTCTCTTGCTTTTTGATCCCATCATTGTTGTATTCGAAAACTGTGTTCGCGGAATTACTATCTTTGCTATTTCATCTACATTCCAAGGCTAAATATTGCGTATTTTTTCGATTATTCCAAGGCTTAAATCCGTGCCATGTGTCAAGTGATGTGGCGTGTCAAGTCAAATGAGAGAGTCAATAGGATTATAGCACATGTCAAATGACGTAATATACCAAGTTAAATAAAAAAGTTAATGAAAGTGACCAATGCAAGTGACATGTTCTCCCTAATCGAAAATGGCATTGTCACTGCTTAAACAATATTCATACTTCTTCTATTTCTTGATGATAATCTAGAAAATTGAGGAAATAACATAGCAATTATTATTAAAACTAGATTTGATAATTCAGAAGAATAATGATGATATTACAAACTCTGAGATGGTGGTTAATGGACTCACTATCGTTCAAACTCATATCCGTATTACATAAAAATTTGTAATTTTACTCACTTTGGAACATACTTTTTGATAGATATTTGGTTCATTTGATAAAGAATGAGGTATACAGTGTATACCATAAAAATTTATTTTTTAAAATAGTATGAAGGCATGAAGCATTATATGAAATATACGTACTTCTTTTAAAACCTCCAACATTTGGATTCCATTTTACAGGTATACTTTGAGCGAGATAAGTTTCATTTGAGGTTCGTAAAACCATATGAAATACAACATTACATAACAGAGATAACCTAATTTGGTTCAGTGTTTGAAAATGTTTAAAAATTTATGGCATTTGATTTGGAGATATGTTGAAAGTCATGTAGAAAATTCAAGTTACCATCTATGAGCAAGTGTGTTAACACCAAATTATAAGGTTTTAAGTTTGAGTGGGACAGTGAGTTGGGTTTCGATTCGTCAAATGCATGATACTTTGCGGAATATTTACACAAATAGCTAGCCGAATTTAATGTCTACTTTTCTTAGTTGGTATACATAAATTATATACTAATTACATATGATTATCAGATATTATACTTGAATTATATATATTATATATATCTGCCAGCTATTTTGAGTTGAAGCGGTTGGGTGGACGGCTATTTAAGTTAATTCTCCGGAACAACTATTTAAGTTAAGAGTAATTTTCAGAAATCATTATAGTTTAGTGGCTATTAACTTCCAATAGCTAACATATATACATACATATATACATATATATATATATATATATATATATATATATATATACACACACACACACACACACACACACACACACACTTCATATATCTAATATTTTGTTGCTATCGGACTGTATTCGCGCTACTGTATTCATGAATACAGACGCAGAATTCGCCTAATAAGTAGGGAGTCCAGCTGTTTAATAACAGAAAGATGATCAATTAGCGTGTATCACTCCTAATTTAACTCAACAAAATTAATTCTACAAATTTTCGTTGCTATGTGCTGTATTCCATGTATTCACGCGACTGTATTTATAAATACAGTGAGGTAAACCGCCTAAAAAACAAGAATTACATATTTTTTATTCTGTATTCCATGTATTCGAGTGAATACATTTATAAATACAGTAAGGTAATCCGCCTAAAAATAGTGATTACGGGTGTAATAACAGAAAGCGCAATATTGAATTGTATTCAATTTTACTAGATTGAATTCAATTGTATTTAAATAATAAAAATTTAAGAAATAGGGTGTATACCGTTCTATTCAATTCGACCGTATACATTATATTCAATTCACAAATATTCATTATTCACTATGATACACTGTATTTAATTCATCGTATTCAATTCGACTGTATTCAAGCAACAAAAAATTACGAAAATTGTGATATTCAGCTGTATTAAAAAGATACAGACCTTCGGAATATATAAATACAGGCGAACAAATAATGTATTTATACAAAAAATACAATATATTTGAGTGTATTTGTATCATTGAATGTGACTCAATCGCAAAGAAGAGAAGAGAGTTCGCCGGAGATGGCATTTTTCATGCCAAACAAAATACTGTATATATTATATTAAAACTAAAAATAGATACGAACAAAAACTCTGCCCTCAAATCTTCTCCGGCGTAGCCATGGCCAGATCTGTTAGCCTAAGAGGATGAGCCAGTGGTGGATGATGACGCTGATGATTCTGACGACGACCACAATTCTGACGACGATCACAATGACGACGATGATTGTGACGCTTACTGATGGAAAAGGGAGATAGATTTGAGGGAGAAGAGAGAGAATTGAGAATCTCGTTGATAGAGAGAGAAGGAAGAGAGAGGGAAAGAACATAATTGACATATTTCACTCCTCAATAGTAGGGTATAAAATAAATATCTATTTTGCTATAAAATAGAAAAGATAGCTATAAATAATAATATTTTGAATTGTTTTAGTTTATAATAAATAGGGTTTAATAGTTTGATACATGAAGTAAAATTTCCTAATTCAATTCTCCATACTTTTGTTATGCCTATCCAGAGATGCCTAATGGGCCATTTAGATGCTTCAGCTTTTGGCCCGTAATTTCAACACAAACAATCACTCAAATTTAATTCAGTCGAATTACACATTTCTTAGCATTCATTAATCTTGCCCTTAATCACTTTTATTTTACGTGTTTCATTACAGTTTTTTTAGCCTTTAAACTAGCCAAATTTAGCCTAAGTTCATTTCTTTACATAAGTTTTGAACCTATAAAGAATAAGTAGTATCCTCTTCTCTATGCTAATCGTCTAATCTCAAATTGAAAATCGTGTGAGTAAAGAGGTGGAGGACTTCTAAGTTCGGTCCAATTTTTTCTGGCGTAACAAAAAAATGTTGTGCATTGCTCTTATTGATATGTTACAAGGATCTTTTACATAAATAGCCGATCAGATTTAGTTTTTTTATTTGCCGATATACATAAAATATATATTAATTATATATGAATAAATACATATTATATATGAGTTATACATATAATATTATATATCCATCAGTTATTTTTAGTTTAAGTCGTTGGGTGGACGGTGCAATTATTATTGATTTATGTATCAATCAACAAAATTTGAAAGTTTCAAATATTTAATTGACAAGCTAGATAAATAAATAAATAAAAGGAGTCAAGTAAATCGAAATGGAATAGAGAACGTAAATTAGGTAAGACTGAACATTATTTTTTATTATAACGGTATTAATTTAGAATTCTCTTGATAAATATATTGTATTAAGTTTTTTGGTCTACTTCGAAAATGTTAACTTAAATATAAATAACATACCTTAATTGTTAGGGATTCGGGAAATATGAACTGATAAGTTTATAAACTTTCTTCTAAATTTAGAACACACAACTTTCCTATTTATGATTTCTGAATTTATTATTCGAAATAGTATATATATTAATACCCACTCGGAAGAAAACGCATAACTTTATTCCTACTTTAGTGAAACTTGTGGTATTAGAATCCCACTTCCATTCTCAAAATTAAAACTAAAATAAAAGAGAAAAATGAAAGGCCTCCGCTCTTTCCCAGTTCCCACAAAAACTTGTAAATATTTATTTTGAAACAAAGAGAAAGAAAATCAACCAATAACTAATTAGCTACATGTAAAGACGAAAGAGGAATGGTCCTTTACATTGCGTCAATAGCCACTCTATGCCGTCGCGTGCCAAATAATCTCTTTTTTATTTATAACTCTATTTTGATGTTGTTACTATTTTAATTATTCTCATGGCTACATCACTATCGATTTTTTTTTTTCAAATTTACTTTAAAATATATTTTCCTTTAGCCCATCAAAAACAGTCTCTTTACTACAAGCGCTTTGTAAACATCATCCTCTCCTGACCCTATAAATTAATTAATTACATATTATTAATCTGACAATAACATACTCAGTCTTATTCCACGTTGTACTATATGCTCATTTAAGGGAAGATAAACTTTGATTATGGATAGAGGATCCGTCCATTCCACCGCAATCTTGATGATAAATAGTATGTTTCAAAATATAATTTCTAAGTGGAGACTATTGTCGAGGCACAACCTTGACCACACCTCCAACTTGACTCCAAATCCATTTTTTAAATCAATAAATTATTTCAGAGTTTCACAATAATCCTAATCCTCGTAATAATACACTCGGCAGCCATGTTAAAAGTCTTTAAAATACTTATAATCAGTAGAAACAAACAAAAGAGCTTTTTGAATTCTCCATTAATCTGCCATTTTTGACTTCCCCTCGGTTGTGAACGATAACACGGTGCGCACCCTTCGCCGGATTTTACACTGATTCACCATGCCGGAGCTGGTTCAAGCTACACAAGTCTACACGCCGAGAACTATACAGCTCTGGAAATCGCTACTGAATTGGCTAGCTTTCTTCTTCCAGATCTTTCTTCAGATCCTCAAAGGCAATAGCTCTCTTCTCTCTTCCTCTCCGCAGTTCAAGCCGCTGCCTGACGTTGAGCTGCTGGAGGAGGAGGAGGAGGAGGAGGCGCTGCCGCCGTCATCCGTCGCTCTCTCGACTCTGCAAATCACTACCGAAAGTGTTCCGATTAGTCTCCAAGAGGAACGTTCACAGAGGCTCACGGTAATGTCTCGTAATGAGCTTTGTAGGAGACGTTAATATTTACTGATATTGTTAACGTTATTGTTTAGCGGTAGAAATTGGATTTGAGTGTAGTGTTTTCCTTTGGATCGGTATCACTAAAGGCGAATATTATTTCCAGCATAAAACTCTTTTCTAGCATAAAATTCTGTAATATTGATGCAACAAACTCTGCATTATTAATACAACCTTTGGTTATTGCTTATACACGGTGGATATAGTGTACGGGTTCATTTGGACCTAGTAACTTTGGCTCGAACTGTATATTTGTGTTGATTCACTAGATAAGTAGAAAAAATAGATTTCAAACCCACTAAACAAAATGGACTAACACTGTATCTTTGGCTCAAACTCCGTATATGTGTTGAGTAATTCACTAAATAAAACGAAATAATAGATTTCGAACGCAATAAATCAAATAGATGTATTTCAAACTCGAACCCATAAAGTTCAAATCTTGGATTTGCCTTTGACAACTCTATACATTATAGTCTGATGTAAAACTCTGCTTAACTAATACTTCCATAAGTTATTAGTTTGTACGAGATAGAATGTGAAATAGTAATACATGTATCAGCAATACCAGGAGAAAACTAATTCTTGACTTTGGTATTGCAATCTCTGCATACTAATCCTTATGTTGCTAACGTCACATAACACACATAGTATTATTCACTACATAACAATTCATGTACTGTGAATTCTGTTTAACTTGTAGACGAATGAGACGACCTATATATTTTATGTTATCGTTGAACTGCTTATCGTTCAGATGAACATGACTAATAGTTTTTTGGTATACAGTTTGATGGCTAAGCATTAAGCTCTTTCATTGTTAATGAGAAATGATCAGATATCACTCTTGCTTGTATTGGTCACTCACGAGTGGATCAGAGTTATTGTTGTTAACAGTTGAACACTTATAAGGAATCTAGTAGGTTCGCACTTGAGCATTAACCTGTGTAATTAAATAGTCATGTTTGTGGCAGACTGCTAGTCAGCTGTGGTAGTGGTTAAATTGATGCTTAATAGGAAATAGGAGTTCTTGTAAAACTAGACTATTTTCGTAATTTTAGTTTCTTTTTCTGGCCTATTTTAGATTGGCCAAGGTGCATATAGATTCATTGGCAAACAGAAATTCATGGATAATGGTTGATATTTCTTTGCAAACTGCATTCGTGCTGTATTGTCCGGTTAATCCTACAAATGATGTATTAGAACATGTTAGCTTTTATATTATGAAGGAACTATAGCATCTAATTTATTAATTTTATGTTTGCTTTTTGAAGAGGCATAATGTGGGAGATACAAGCTAACCAACAGTGGCGTAAGCTGGTTTAGTTTTTCTTTTTCTTTTTCTTTTTGGTGTTTGCGTCAGCTTGCACACGCCTCGATTATTTCACCAGATGCCTGCTAATCCCACCAGTACAAGTACCGGGCAACTTTGATCACCAAGACTTAGGCAAGATTAGAAAGAAATCACCTAGTTTTTTTAGTCTCTGTGGGGATTTGAACCCCGGTCTTGCCTGGTTTCACCCACTTCAATGACCACTAAGCCACACCCTTGGTTGCTGATGTAAGCTAGTTTAGTAGTGTGCAAAAGCATGTGCAGATTGGTACAGGAAGATCACAAGTCAACTTTGCAAATTTAGTATAAGCATATAACATGCGAAGTTAGCTTCCAATCTGAATAGTGAAGATATTTAAGGAAAACCAACTTGGTAAAAGGAGGAAGTTTTAAAGCAGGGCAACTATAACGAGGATGCAAAAGCTGAGATTGATGAAAGAGGCAGTTATAGTTCCTGAGAAGCATTAATTTGCCAGAAAGTATGTCAAAGGATAGGGAATGTTGTTATTTACAGCATGCATATTTTGTTAGTAAGGTGATTTCTAGTTTTGGTAGTGTCACAATATTCTTTTGGGTTTCTTCTCATCTCTTCTTTCTTTATTTCTTGGGAAGGTGGTGTAGTGGACAAGGTTATGCCGTTAGCACACCCTTAGCTTGCAAATGAGATCCCTAGGGGAAATGGCTTGACAAGCGAGTCGAAACACCATACGAGTCTGATGAGCTTTTTGTTAGTCTTTGATACATGCTTGAGTCAGCAAAGTGCTAATTTAGCAAGTTTGAATGGTGTTATATATGTGTGATGAGCACTTTATTGGTAATAACTAATAGGTAGTGCTCTTCCGACTACCTATCACTCCTTAGCTAGAATGTTTGTAGAACTGGATAACCAGTGCTTCCTGCTACAAGGATTAACTGCTGACTGTCAATGGTGTTGATCAATCTTTTAATAGATATTTTATTTAAAAGATTACCTTCTGTTTATGTTTTTCTTAAGTTCTTAGATGCTGGATGCAGGTGGTTCTTGACTTGGATGATACTTTAGTTTGTGCATATGAGACATCAAGTATGCCGACAATCATGCGTACCCAGGCAACAGAGGCTGGGTTGAAGTGGTTTGAGCTCGAGTGCGTATCTTCGGACAAGGTAAACTTTCTAGTTCCTACTAGTTGATATAATATTCTGGCAAGTTTCTTGAAGAATTCTGCTCTAATTCCTCTCGGAGGTTTTAGGAATATGATGGCAAACCTAAGATCAACTATGTCACAGTTTTTGAACGTCCTGGACTACACGAGTTTTTAAAACAACTTAGCGAATTTGCTAATCTGGTCTTGTTTACTGCTGGACTTGAAGGTTAACTCATTACTTTCTGGTTGATTTAGTTATCTTCCTTTTCCATTGGCGTCTTCATCCAAAATTGTTGAATTTTTTGTTATGTGCATACAGGATATGCAAGACCCCTTGTTGACAAAATTGATCCTGAGAATTGGTTTAGCCATAGGCTTTATCGGCCTTCAACTATTAGCACGTAAGTATAGATACTGGCTTTGTCTTTTACTGTTTTTTGTCTTTTCCTTTCCCTGTTGAATAACCATGATTGAAATTCTTATCTGGCATCATTTGACATGTTGAATATGACGCTAATCTAATTTTTTTAGAGAAATATCAAAGAGTAAAGAAACACTATCTGAAAGTAAATGGCATAAAAGGAATAGAAATCTGATGCTATTAGAAGGAAAATTGGATAAGCAATATATCTTGTGTTGCCTTTCATCTTGATTAGTAAAAGCTATAGATCTACCTTATGGCATATCAATCTTTGAGACAACAGTTGTATTTTATATGCATATAGTGGTGCTAATTGGTGTTGAGCACTTGTTCCGAGCACTGGTCTTGAAAATGTTGTACATCCTATCTTTAATCACTAGCCAAACTTTATATGGTGGTTTCAAGTGTAAGAGTTGAAGAATTGTTACCTTTCTCAAAAAAGATAGTGTTAAGAGTGGAAAAAGTCTGATTGTTGGGGGAGGGAGGGAGAAGTGGAAGTCATGCTGCCTCATCAATGATAAATGCCATGAGCTCCATTTGAAGACATTCACTGTCCTTAGATTGCTAAAGCTGAAGGGATGAATTGATTGAAAGCTTATGCTGAACCTGCTTTTTGTTAGTCATAAAAACAACTGCTCCCTCAGTCCCAATTTATGTGATGGTGTTTGATTGGACATCAAGTTTAAGAAAGAAGGAAGACTTTTGAAGCTTGTGGTCTAAAATGAGCTATAGATATTTGTGTGGCTATCGATCATCTCATTAACTAAAATGGGCATTTTAAAGTTAAATTATTACTAAATATAGAAAGGTATCATTCTTTTCTAGACCAACTAAAAAGGAAAAAGTGTCACATAAATTGGAATGGAGGGTGTAATTACTTTATGCATGATCTCACAAAATTTGAATAATCTTTGTCAAAATATACTTGTCTTTTTGTATCCTGTTGATCACATTGCAGAACAAATGTACCATCGAAAGAAATGATAAATTAATCAATGACGTAAATGACATGATAATAGGAGGGGTCCGAGGAGAAAAGGTATGAAAATAGTAGAGGCAGTGGCTTTATGGACTTAGCTTAAAAGCATTGCTGGAAGATCTTTTTTGCACTTGCTGATATCTATAGAGAATCTGTTGTGCATCTGTTTCATCTACTCCAATCCGTAGCAGGTGAAGGATTCATTCTGAATGACTTCGTACTGAGAATGATCAACTTTTACTTTCTAACTGATTATGAGGACATCCCCTAGCTGCTTTATTCATTTGTCCTGAAAAATCAGTGCAAAGTACTAGGATAGCTCTTCATCATTCTTCTTTTTTCGAAACATTAGCACAAACTACTACTAGTAGCTCGCAATAGCTTTAAGATTTCTTCGATCATGCTTTCATGAGATGAAGCAGACCAGATGATGGAAGTTACAGTTCGTTGCAGGTCTGAACATAGAGTAGGGAGTTTGTTTCTAGCAGAAGTTCTTAAGTGACACCGAGCACAGCCTTCTTGAAGAATCATTTTTTGAAATTCTGTCATGCTAACTAAGCTCTGTATGTTAATCCTGAATTGAGATCTTAGTGTGTCAGTTTAGGTACCTAGTCTTTTTATTTTAGTGCCTCAGCTCTATGAATCTGATCTTCAAGCATATGTTACCGATTGAAGATTATCTTTTCCTTTCCAACCCCCAGTTTCATATATTATATCTATGGAGTATGTATAATATTTAAGCAAATCTAATCCTTATTTTTTCTGAAGTATGACGGATTGACGACTGACGTGTTTCTAAATGTTTCCTTAATCCGTGTAACTTGTTTAAGTGTGTGACCATCTCATCAGAAAGCTGAAACTGCCAGAGAGAACATACTTTTAGATACTTAATTATGTATTCAACACGCTCCCCCACTTATAGACCTGCTTTTGTTATGGTCCGAGCACGTAAATTCTTTTTGATAATGAGTGGTGGCGAGACTCGAACCCAAGACTTTGCCTGCTTTGATACCATGTAAAAATATAGAAGAAACTAAACTTGACTTGGTTAACAATGTATAAGAGATGCTTCTTATATGGACCCCAGGACTTTGGTCTTGTGGCAGGAGCGCAACTCGTGATGTGTGGGTTAGGCGCACGTCATGTGTTCGAAGTCTGCCACTAACAAAAGCCTGGTATTTAAGTAGAGAAGGGTTGAGGAGCGGCCCATCATCCACAGAGTTTCGAAATCGATCCTCGGAGATTTCTTTGCTATCAAAAATAATATTAAATGAAAAAAGGTGCTTCTTATACGAGAGTCTTAGGCTATATAATATGCTAAATGATCAATCCCCGTGTTGATAAGGTAAGTAAATATTTTATAATTAAATCCAAAATATCCTAACGTATGCTATAGAATATTCTGTATGATTTTCCTTTTTAAATATTATGTGAATCTAGAAGTATATGAATGTAGACACATATTCACTTGATACTAAATATAGCTCATCTCTTGTGTTGGCTGGTTGCTTTTTTATTAGCATCCTTAGGTGCAGTAAGGATTCATACATAGTTGTTAACGGAGTAGAGCTACCAAATTCTGAGGACCTCTTTGTCAAAACTTTGTTAACCCGTGGTAGTCCAACTTTGGTACTCTCTGTCGTGTTATACATGGTGACTAGCTTATGAATGTTAGAAGCGGTAAGATCATAAATTGTGTAGGGCCTCACATTTGAAAGAAAACATTTGTTAAGTTAGACTTTCAAGTTCATGTCTCTATTTATGAAAATGTTTTATTGTCAATGCCACTAACTTGCTTCTATGGATTATGGTGTTTGTTTGAAGTTTTGACGTTCTTGAGTTTACAACATCAACTTTAGAGTTTTCAATGTGTATGTTTGAGCTATATCTTGGAAAAAATGGAGTACTTTTTTCTGAAGATTTCCATACTTCTCAAATTTGTCAAAAAATGTAAATCTCTAAAAGCTAGTTTTTGGGTTTTTTAAAGCTATAAAAATTGAGTTTGGAAATGTTGAATTTGCTCTGGCATGTTTGTATACGGGTGAAACCGGGCCCATGGGACGCCTCAGTTTCCGATGAAGTAAACGGAGCAAGAGACGTGACGGTAAGGGACCGGAATCGAGGCAAGGAGCCCCTCGAGCCGGGGTCCGGGCAAAACGCCTGCCCTCGGAAGTATCGGGGCCATGACTCCCAGGTTCGGTTCGAATCCCAAAGGCCTCGGAGAGCATTACCAGATAATCGAGCACGACCAACAAAAGGCTGTGATATCCGTGACCAGCCGAATGTCACGGCGTGAATCTCGACACGTATCGGCAGAAAACCGGTGATTAGTTAAACATAAGATTTTTACCTTTTATGAAATTGTACTTGGGATAAAACACCCCTACTATATAAAGGGGGTCTGATTATTCATTAGACACACTTTAACACGCACATCAATGCAATATACTCTTATTTTCTCTGTTATTCAAAGTTGTTACTTTTGTTGATCAGTTCATCATTAACGTGAGCCCGGGATCGAAGACAAGCGTTTCATTAAGCTATTAGAGTCCGAGATCACTCCATTTGATTGGTTTAATACTTTATTACGTCCTTTATATGTTTAATCTAACGCTATTTATCATTTGTATTGAATTAACCCGCGTATCCTTAAAACCACTTACAAATTTAATTGTTATCCGTTTTTGAGGGTAAACGGTTTGGCGCCCACCGTGGGGCTAAGCATAATAGTGCCAATTTGATACAAATTTTCATAACACAGTCTATTTTACACTTGTTCTTTGAGCTTTTAATTTCAGGTCAAAACTAAAAATGTCAAACTCCCAATCTGCCTATTTGAACGTGGATGCTAAGTCCGGCCACCATGGCGAGAACAACAACGAGGTACCCAGCCACAAGGTGCCCCCTACTAACCCCAACGGAGTCCCAGTTGCTGATCCGATCGATGCTAACTCACATGTGGCTATCGAAGCAAACTTGCCTACTGACCCCTCGCGGGGGAGCCCGGTCAATAGCCCAGAGTACACACGACGGCGAAGGTGATGGGATCAACTTGCGCATGATCTTCAAAATGTTACAGGCTCAACAGGCAGCGATAGCCTAGTTGCAGAACCAAAGCCGCGCCCCCAGCAGAGCTGAGCCCGAATCGTCCCGGGAAAACGCCCGTAGAAATGAACTGGCCACAGAAAGGTCGGGTGAAGCAGAACCCGAGACCCCAAGATAATAAAGATGCTTGAGGAACTGATAAAGCGGGTGAAATCAGGAGAAAAGAAAATCGAACCCAATGACAAAAAAATAGAGACCTATAACTCCAGGGTCGATCAAATCCCGGGAGCGCCACCAATACTGAAGGGCCTGGATTCCAAGAAATTTGTCCAAAAGCCTTTCCCTCCGAGCGCAGCTTCGCCGCCGATCCCAAAGAAGTTCCGTATGCCCGAAATTCCGAAGTATAATGGGATAACCAACCCAAACGAACATGTGACCTCTTATACGTGCGCCATCAAGGGAAACGACTTGGAAGATGATGAAATCGAATCCGTTCTGCTGAAAAAGTTCGGAGAGACCTTGTCGAAAGGAGCTATGATTTGGTATCACAACTTACCCTCTAATTCTATTGACTCGTTTGCTATGCTCGCATATGCCTTTGTAAAAGCGCATGTCGGGGCCATTTCGTATCGAGGTTTCAAATGAAACAGATGGATCTGCCTCTGGTCGCAGATTATTGGGATGTTCGGGCCTTCACCCAAGGACTCAATCGCCGAAGCTCATTGGCTTCACAATAGTTGAAGCAAATCTGGTAGAATACCCGGCGGTAACTTGGGCCGACGTCCATAATCGGTACCAATCAGAAATCAGGGTCGAAGACGATCAACTCGGGGCTCCTTCCGGGTTCGTTTATCCCGTCAGAGCTAGCGACAAATCCAAAAGAGACATTGATTGTGAACCAAGATCGAATAGAGACCGGTATCAACCATACAATGAAGATCGAAGGGGTAATGGGCCCTGGCGTAACACTGTGAAAGGTGAAAGAAGAAGCGACCGAAGTCATAATAATCGGGGACTCATGAGCAAAAGCGGTTTTGACAAACCCATCGGGTCTAAGGAAACACCAAGGTTATCGGAGTACAACTTCAACGTCGACGCTGCCGCCATCGTATCAACCATCAGACGCATCAAAGATACTAAGTGGCCTTGATCATTGCAATCCGATCCTGCACTAAGGTACCCAACCTAATGTGTAAATATTATGGCACTCACGGCCATAGAACCAAAGACTGTCGACAAATGAGAGAGGAAGTAGCTCGGTTCAACATCGGACACCTCTGAGAGTTTCTGAGTGATCGAGCCAAAAATCACTTCAGGTTTAGGGACTCCAACAAGCAGATCGAGCAAGCGGAACCTCAGCACGTCATTAACATGATCATTGGTGGGGTTGACGTCCCCCAGGTGCCGATGTTAAAGCGGACTAGAGATTATGTACCAGAGGGGACCGTATCTTTCAATGATGAGGACGCTGAAGGCATCGTACAACCACACAAAGATGCGCTAGTAATATATGTACTCATAAATAAATCTCGAGTTAAGCGTGCGTTGATTGATCCAGGTAGCTCTGCCAATATCATCAGATCGAGGGTCGTGGAACAACTGGGTCTACAAGACCAAATTGTGCCTGCAGTCCGAGTTTTAAACGTGTTTAACATGACATGTGACCACTAAAGGGGAGATAACCTTGCCGGAACCGTTCAGGAAACAAAGTTCTACGTGATCGAAGGAGATAAGAGATACAACGCTTTATTCGGGAGGCCATAGATTCACAACATGAGGGTAGTACCTTTGACACTACATCAGGCGTTGAAATTCCCTACACCGGGAGGAATCAAAACAGTTTACGGAGAGCAACCGGTCGTAAAAGAAATGTTCGCGGTCGATGAGGTGGTCCCGATATCCGCATTCTCGACATCGAAGAACCCGAGCTCGATCACCAAGGAAGAAACCAAATATCAATCACCGACATCGGCCCCGATCGAACCAAAAAAGCAGGGAACGAGCGAGGATGACGATTAAGGAGTCCCCAGATCTTTCATAACCCCTGACGATTCCGATGCCACGAAGTCAACGGTTGAGGAGCTGGAGCAAGTCATATTGATCGAGCACCTGCCCGATCGGAAGGTATACCTGGGCACAGGGTTACTCCGGAGCTCAGGAAAAAACTAATTGAATTTCTTATAGCTAACATAGATTTTTTCGCTTGGTCCCATCTTGACATGACTGAGCTTAGATCCAAAGTTTCACTCGGTTAAACAGAAGAGGAGGCCTCAGTCCGAAGTCAAGCACGCATTCATCAAATACGAGGTATCCAAACTCCTTAAAATAGGTTCTATTCGGGAAGTTAAATACCCGGGCTGGTTAGCAAACGTAGTGGTAGTACCTAAAAAGTGAAATAAATTAAGAATGTGTGTAGACTAGAAACACTTGAACAAGGCATGCCCTAAGGACTCTTTTCCTTTGCCTAACATCGATCGCATGATCGATGCGACGGCCGGGCACGAGATACTCAGCTTTCTCGACGCCTATTCCTGGTACAACCAGATTCGGATTGATCCGGACGACCTGGAAAAGACTTCCTTCATCACTAAATACGGCACCTATTGTTATAATGTAATGCCATTCAGACTAAAAAACACTGGTGCCACTTACCAACGCCTAGTAAATCGGATGTTCGAAGAACAAATAGGAAAATCAATGGAGGTTTACATTGGAGACATGTTAGTTAAGTCCTTGCGAGCAGAGGACCATTTGAAACATTTGCAGGAAACCTTCAACATACTGAAGAAATACAATATGAAGCTGAACCCGGAGAAATGCGCTTTCGGAGTCGGATCCGGGAAGTTCCTGGATTCATGGTGTCCAACCGGGGAATCGAGATCAATCCCGACAAGATCAAGGCCATAGAAGACATCACCGTGGCGGACAATGTCAAGGCCGTTCAAAGACTAACCGGGCGCATAGCTGCCTTGGGTCGATTCATTTCAAGGTCTTCCGATAAGAGCAATTAGTTCTTCTCGTTATTGAAGAGAAAGAATAACTTCTCGTGAACCCCGGAGTGCCAACAGGCTTTGGAAGAACTTAAACGATACCTTTCAAGTCCGCCTTTACTTCATACACCGAAGGCAGACGAGCAGTTGTATCTGTACTTAGCGGTATATGAGATAGCGGTAAGTGAAGTCTTAGTCTAGGAAGAAGAAGGTACGCAATTCCCTATATATTACGTTAGCAGGACTCTAGGCGAGGCCGAAACGAGGTATCCTCACGTGGAGAAATTGGCGCTCGCTTTGCTAAGCGCCTCCAAGAAGTTAAGGCCATATTTTCAATGCCATCCCATATGTGTCGTGACCACTTACCCATTGAGGAACATAATGCACAAACCCGAGCTCTCGGGACGATTGGCCAAATGGGCCGTGGAAATTAGTAGGTACGATATTGAATATCGACCCCGAACCGCAATCAAATCTCAAATTTTGGCAGACTTCGTGGCCGATTTCACGCCGACCTTAATACCCTTTGTCGAAAAGGAATTGTTGTTAACCTCGAGGACCTCCTCGGGGATTTGGACCCTTTTTACGGATGGTGCTTCGAACGCACAGGTAACGTAGCAACATGTACCCCGAGATCAAAACAGCGAAGTCGATCCTCTAGCCAACTTGGGGTCGACGGTTGATGACGATGAATTCAGCTCGGGAACGATCGTACAACTCATGAAATCGGTAGTGGAAGAAGGCCACGCCGAGATAAACTCGACAAGCTTGACCTGGGACTGGAGAAACAAGTATATAGATTACCTGAATATCGGGAAGCTGCCCTCGGATCCTAAAAAATTGAGAGCTCTATGCTCGAAGGCAGCCAGGTTCAGCCTGTCTGAGTACAACACCCTGTTCAGAAGAATGTTCGATGGCCCACTCGCCATATGTCTGGGGACGGGAGACACCGAATACGTTTTGAGGGAAGTTCACGAAGGCACTTGCGGGAACCATTCGGGGGCCGAATAAACGATTCGTAAGATAATCAAAGCCGGCTATTACTGGATCGACATGGAAAAAGATGCGAAGGAGTTCGTACGGAAATGCGACGGCTGTCAGAGGCACGCACCGATGATCCATCAGCCCGGGGAGCTACTGCATTCGGTCTTGTCACCTTGGCCATTCATGAAGTGGGGAATGGACATTGTCGGTCTCTTGCCATGGGCACCCGGTAAGACTTAATTTATATTATTTATGACTGACTATTTTTCAAAATGGGTTGAAGCTCACGCATTTGAGAAAGTCAGAGAAAAAGAAGTCATTGATTTTATTTGGGACCACATAATATGTCGGTTCGGAATGCCGGCCGAGATCGTATGTGACAACGGGAAGCAGTTCATCGGCAATAAGATAAGCAAATATTTTGAGGACCATAAGATCAAAAGGATCCTGTCAACACCCTATCACCCTAGTGGGAACGGGCAGGCGGAGTTTACGAACAAGACTATACTCCAAAACCTTAAGAAGAGATTGACTGATGCTAAAGGAAAATGAAAGAAAATTTTGCCCGAAGTCCTGTGGGCATACCGTACGACCTCAAAGTCTAGTACCGGGGCCATCCCGTTTTCGTTGGTCTACGGTGTCGAAGCGCT